ACTGCACAGGGCAGTGTGGGGGCTGGATTCCCTTTGACATGCTCAGCAGCAAGGAGCCATTACCTGGTATATTCATGTATTAAACCAAACAAAACCCTCAATAATACAAGAGGCAGCCTCAAATCTCAGTAAACACAGACTTTCAGTACAGACTAAGCACCCCATGAAATTCTAATTATTTCAAGGTCCAAATTGTCCCTGTTTCCAAACCGGAAAATTTCCAAACCGGAAAGCAAGCCATGTTGTTATTTCAACAGCCACTTTTTACATACACTGGACAAGAGGACTCCGTGGATATTTGATCATTCATAAAATTTACAATTTAGAAAATGAATTTATTATCAATGAGTCCCTTTAACAAAACAGGGCATTACCTCTCTCCTAAGATTTAGTTCATTTCAATTTGAATGAGACAAACATTTGAATCAAGGACACATATAACAAAAAGATATTGTTCAACACTCAAAAAGTTATAATTTCCTCGTTTAATTTTCTACTTAACAGTAAAGAATATACAATAAAGATGTATTTTAGAAGGAAGACAGCAGAATACACAAGCTGGTTTTGACCTCCTTCTTTACAGTTTTTCTAGTCTGATTTTTTTAAAATATAATTTTCTTCTTTTTCTTTACTTTTTGATTTATTCTTTTCATTTTTATTCTTTTTTATTCATTTTGAAATTCTTTTTCTCTATTTTGGCATACTTATTCTTCTGTAGTAAATTCTCTTGTGAATTTAATAAATGAAGCACAAACATAAGAGCTAAAGGAATTTCAGTCCTAGTCATCCCCACTGCTTTCTGCAAGTTCCAAGCTCAGCACACATGGAACTCAGGTTACATGAGAGAGTCTGGCAAGAAAAAGCAGGAACATAAACTTAACTTTCAGGATAGGTATCTGAACTCCCCAAAATTCAGCAGGGAGAAAATTTTTCAAAAAGGATAAACACCTCTAATCAGTCCTTAACCAGGAGACTTTAGCCACTTGCCAAAATATTCTCCCTTGTTGAGCCAAAAAATTGAAAGCAGGAGAGAGGGAGTGTGAGTGTAACTGGATATGGGGTGAGGCTTTAATTTATTACCAGCAAGAGGAGGATACCAATATAGTTAGTCAACAAGCATTAATCCTCATTAATGTCTTCCATTCAAATCCATTCTTCTGTATACAGCTGTGCAAATATAAATTAATTGGGCCATTCTGATCAAGGTATCCAAGAAAAAAATTAAAATGTGAGGCCAAGAAGTAATTGGACAAGTAACACATTCTTTCAATATGTGGGAAGAACTGTTCAAACTACCATATCATAGATTAAGAGATTGTCATCTGTTGGTATGCATAGAGGAGTGGTTCTAGAAGCCCAAAATCTACAGATATTCAAGTGCTAATAAATGATATAGCAAGTAAAATGGTGCATAATAGCCCACACATATCCTCCTTTTCACTTTAAATCACTTCTAGATCATTTATGATATGATCTAAATGCTATGTAAATAGTTGTTAGACTGCATTGTTTGGGGAATGATGACAAGAAAAAAAAGTCTGTACATGTTCTTTACAGACACATTTTTCCCCCAAAATACTTTCAATCTGCATGTGTTGGATCTGTGGTTGTAAAATCTGCAGATATGAAGAGCTACCTACACTCAGATTCATTCTGCTGTAAACATCCTTGAGTGAGATGCCACCAAAGAGCAGAAGGAGGGAGAAATGAGTTCCCTCACAAAGCAGGTAATAAACAGCCACCAGGTGAGAATAGTAGGGCTCACTCCTTTCGGGCACTGTGCTGAGGATAGTACTCATTTAATGCCCACAATAACACCATTATCCCCAGTTTACATACAAGATAATCAAGAAGAGGTTAAACAACCTGCCAGTATGTGGTGGAGTCAGTCACTATTTAAATTCAGACTAATTCCAGAAACACTATTTCTAACCATAATATTGCCCTTATTTTCTATATACTTGGCATTACACTTATGAAGACAAAAAATGTAGGGCTCAGAACTTACCCTTACTAAGTTTACAATCTAACTGCGGAACCAGGTAGGATACATGTGAAATAACCAGAAAACAGAACATGAGTGTATCATCGGGATATGCATCTTTTGCATGAAGAATGCAATTCATGGGACCTGGGAGAAGGTGGTTATAATTCACCTGTGCAACGGCTGAAAAGGATTTCTGTCAGATTCCAAACTGAAGAACACAATGTAGAAAGACCATCCAATTCCTATACTATTCCTATACTAATACTAATGAATTTCTGCTGTGTGTGGTGTACACATTCAGAAAGGCATCTCCTGTTCAGAATTCTCCCCTAAGAAAGGACAGCCAGCCCATCCCCCAGCTGCATTTTAAAGGTTAATAAGAATGCCCATAGCCCCTCTGAATCTGGTGGGAATAGAGAGAAGTTCCTGCCATCCCTCTCACAGAAGTATGGCAACCTATCTCAGCCTCTGAAGACTAAGCAGGGAGAAGACGGTCTGCATCACCTTCTCCTAAGTTCTTTTCACTGGAAATTAGCCAGCTAAGGGCCTGACTAATGGAAAAGGATGGGTTTGAGAGAGGGACCAGTGAATGTGCTCAGAAATAACAGCCACAGGGCTACAGATACATGTAAACTGGAAGAAAGCACAGGCAGGCCACAGTTATTCTGAAATTTACACGAAACTCACAAGTCTCATTGGGAAACTATGATAAAAGTTTTGAAGAACCTATTTCCATTCACTTTGCTACACTTAAATTTCTGGTGTTCTACTAATGTTCAACTGTACATGATTTTAGCAAGTCCCGTGCTTTTACACAGGGTGACATGTTGCTCTCAGCAGCAGTTTCGTGATGGAGAGATGCTGGCACATCCTCATAGCACAGAGGACAGGCAGGCCTTTGATGAACTCCTTGCCTATGACTCAGATTTCATGTGGGATGGGGTAAAGCGACACAGAAACAGATCCTGGAATACTGGCTGGGGTGAGTGGTCAACTGCACAGAGAAAATCCTACAGGCTTTCACTTGTCAGGCAGGCTCTCTGCTGTTCCTGACAGCCCAAGCAGTATCAGGGACTTTAGAGCAAAGCAAATATTCCCAAAATGTCCTGGTCATGAAGCTGGGCTCAAATGGTGTGGTGCCAAACACCTATAATCCCAGCACTTGGGAGGCTGCAGCAGGATCTCTGTAGCTCCAGGCCAGCCTGGATGACATAGTGAGTTCAAGTCTAGCTTGAGCTACTCTGTCTCAAAAACAAAAACAAAAACAAAAACAAAACAAAACAAAACATAACGCTCAGCCCAGTCTAAATTCTTAGCTAATGATTCTCAAAAATCACTAAGGGAACTATGAAAAAATATTTGAGCTGTGTCTGACCCCAGCAATTGTGATGCAAAGGGTCTCGGTGGGGCCTGGATACTGTAACATGTAACCAGAGTTAGAATCGCTCTATCTAACATACCCAAGTCTGAGATACCATAAGCATCAATAAGTGGGGCAACTGAATCAACAGATGCTAATATGGACAGAAGACCCCCTGCTCCTTCAAAAGCTTACTCTCATTTTTTTCCTTTCTGGATTTGAGAAACTCCATAAAAGCAAACTGCCTGGATTACAATCCTAGTTATGTCATTTACTAGCTAACTGACCTTGGACAACTTGTATGACTTTCCAGAGACAGTTTTCCTAGTAATAAAATGAGGTTAACAATCACACCAATGGCATTCAGTAGTTGAGTGGACTGTATGATAATGAGTGCATAAACTAGCCCAGCATCTAGCTCATGCTAAATGCTTATTACATGATTGATGATCGTGATGATGATAAAAATGAAAATGTACCAGCTATTTCCAAAAAGGGATGTTTTTCTATACTGTTTATTTCTAGGGCCAGACTTCAAAGGAACTGTGATGAACTGGAATGTGAGAGTTCTAGAAACAATGTCCCATATAGAGTGGCTGAAGGAAGAAGTGTTTAACAAAGATAAGAAACAAGTAGGAGAGTAAATGGTACAGTATCCTCTTCAGATGTGAGGATCAGGTCAAGAGCAGGTGGCCTGATCTAATGTATTTCTAGTGCAAAATTCTTAACTAAAAAGAAGGTAGACTACAGATAGAATTCAGAAGACCTGGGTATTTGGATAAGAATTTAAAAATGAATATTTTCATTATTCTCAAATGAAAATTTAACATTTTCTTTAATTATGAACATGGACAACAAACCTCAGTAGAAGTAGCAGTAATTGAGATTTTTGCCACCAAGCAATATAAAAAATATTTCCACATCATGCAACAGTTGTGGTAGTTACCCTAAAATATTATTACTAATATTTAGGGTAAACAACTGCCCCAATTTGCCCAGGAGTAAGGGGTTTCCCAGGATGTGGGACTTGTACTGCAAAAATTCAAAAAGTTACAAGCAAACTATTTCCTATTTATATTCATCACTGCTTTGAAACTATGGTAGTTATAATATCAGTAAATACTGTATTATTATTGTCTTAATAAAGATGCATTTAAATTGTTATATCATAATTTTAAAATCTTATATCTGATAAATATTAACACATTTACATAACTTACCCTTTTTAATGGTTTCCATTTCATTTGACACATCATGGCACAAAAACATTTAAGAGAGATGAGACAAACACTATTGGTTGGACAATGCAGACAACCAGATTTAAGTTTTTTAGGTCTGGAAACTTAAAAATAACAATTAACTACATGGCAGAAGAGCACTCAGGTACTTAGCTCCATAGACAACCAAGGGATGGAGCCATTTTTCTTCTATTGGAAATTTCCAAAATTCCTCTTCTGTTACTTACATTGTTGAAGAGCTGACTCGATCTTGATAGCTATCAATCAGAGTGTCTATTTTGCAATAGCTACAAATGCTTCCCATAAGAATCATAATTAGACAGATCTTAATATTTTCTATGAATTAATACAAGGAAAATTAGATTTTAAAAAGATCAAGTTTAAAGAAATGATGAAAAGAAACTTGAACTCTTACCGGATACCACCAGACTACTGACAGACATCGGCTCCCACCCTGCCTTATGTCCAGCCTTGACAGAGGTTCCATTACTTTCTCAGAAGACAGTAAGAGACCGTTTCTCTTCTGATCAACATAATTCCAAGCCATCACCCCAATGTGGCCAGAAGGCAGAGTTCTCACAATTGCTCTTGTCCCAGTATACACAGATTTCTTCACTTCCCTGTCATTTTTACAAAATCTCCTAATTAACAAAGTGGACCGCTCCTTTTTGCTTTTAAAAAAATCATCTTCTACGTCTTCACAATTATCAGAGCAGTCCTCAGAATGGCTCAGAAAGGTCTTGGCAGGCAGACTGTCAGTAAAATCTTCCTTGCAAAAGCGATCACTTGAACATACCATGTTGACCTTCTGGCAAGAGCCTTCACAGCACAGGTATTTGTCATTCAAGATGCCACAATCATACTGCAGCTGCCCATTCCCATTATCACAGTTCTTTGCCAATTCCATCAGTTTACAAGTATATGCCATATAATTTATCTTTTGCTCCCCCTCAGAAAGTGGTACACAGTTTCCACAATCATCCAAAATCAAGTTTTCAGATAGGGTATGAAAGCTGTCTGACATTCTTCTGTCAACATCATAATGAAAGTGAAATACTGCCATGTTGCTGTCAGGGTGTGCTCTGTCATTTTCTATGATCCCAGAATGACTTCCTAAAGGACTAAGGTCTATGGAAGGTCCATCTATTTCCAGTTGAATTCCAGAGACCACCTTTTTTTCCAGTGGAGAAGGAAATCCAGTTTTGAGACACAGGTCTTCCTCCATGACAGAGTTGCATGTTTCATAAAACTGGCTCTGAGGAAAGCCATGCTGATGGTTTTGAAATATGTTGTTGCAGTTAATGTTATGGTTTTTTATAGACTCTGGTATGCTTGTTTTATAGCACTTTTCATTGCTGTTCTCATCATTCACTATTTTCTCCTTTGTTATTGAGAGAACCTTGGGCAGGTCGCTTCCAACAGATACTTCTTTAAATTTATTCCAATGTGAGATAGTGTTGGAAGTCTGACCACTCTGCCTGACAGTATGCATTTTTGGAATACTGATGTCTGAGACCTTTTCACTACTTTCATCTGCAGCCAACTGGGCAGACATCACTTTTCTCTGAGTCACAGGGATGAGAACAGAAGCTGCCATTTCTTCAGAAGTCATCTTGACCAAAACACAGCCTTCAGCTACTGCTGTTTGTCCTCCTTGGTGATCATGTCAAGATTTCTATAAAATGACTGATTGTTAAAATAATCTCAGACATATATAAGTCCTTCTGAGAAAAGAAGTGGCAGTTCTCTTCATCCAGGTACATTAAGAACCACATGAATTTTTGCCAGTATAATTTCCTATTATGAATATTTTATTCTAAATTGGAGTTTTAAGATAGTAGATCAATTTTATTTCCTCTGTTATTTGAAGAAAAATTTTGAAGACTTCTATTCAGAAATGCATTCTTCAACTTCTGGTCCATCATTAACTTGCAATAATTTAAAAATCCAGCTTGAATTTTTCCTGTTTCCTGTAAGAAAAGGGATAATGTTAAACACTGGCATTAAACATATTTTTTAAAATGAGCTTATACTTGTAAGCTAATATACAAAACTATAGGTCAATTTTGAGAAAAGAGTTTTGCAATCAAAAATTAGTTTAATGTTTTAAGTTTTTTGTTTTGTTTCTACATTTCAGAACTTCTGCTTCTAGCCAAAAAGAAGTAACAAGAACCAAATTTATTCTCTCACCTTAAATAACTAAAAATCAATGGTTTGAAAAAATGGTTTTCAAACATTGAAAAAGCAACACAGAATAATGATCTCTGAAAGAAAACAAATGAAGCAAGTCTTACAAATGTCTAATTTACTGTTTAGAGAGTTTCCAGGCCACGGGGCAGTAAAGTGGACTCAGGTATAACCTGAGTAGAAGAGAGAAAGTTAAAACTTCAGACAGGCCAAGGAAGCTAGACAAATAAGACATACTAAGTAAAGAGCAGAAAAAATAAGAATGGCAGCAGACTTTTCATCAGAAACAATGCAAGCCAGAGGCAAGTGGAGCAAATCTTTAAAGTATTAAAAGAAAAAATATTAAAACTTAAAATTCTACAGAGAGCAAAAATGTCTTCTGATAATGAAGTAACTTTTCCAACATACCACAATGAGAAAATTCATCATTAGCTGGCCTACACTACAAGAAATGATAATGGAAGTCCTTTAAGCAGAAGAAAAATGACAGAAACCTGTGTGTAAAGAAATAAAGGGCTCAAAAATATTAAAGATGTGAGTGAATATAATTTTTCTTACCTCAATAATATAGTTACGGTTTAAGATAATTGATCATTTAAAATAATTATAATAACTATAATATATTGTGGGATTTCTAACAGATATAAATTGTATAAAATGTGTAAAATGTATAACCAAACAGCACAAAGGTCAAGAGACAAGAAATGGAACTATATACTCATAAGTTTATTTTTTACATGATGTTAAAATGATTACTTAAAGGTAGATTGTGTTAAGTTAAAAATGTATACTGTAAACCCTAAACGAACCACTTTTAAAGAAGACATAGGTAATAAGATCAAAAAATTAAAAGCACAAAAAATTCAATTTAACAAGCCAGAAAAAGAAGAAAAAGTGAATAAAGAACAAAGGAGACAAGAAAGTAATGGTAGATTTAAATATCTTAAAAACATCTGAAGGCAGTATTACATTTTCCCCTCAAATATAAAAATTTAAAATTTGTTATTTGAATAAGAAATTGTGCAGTTGAATATCAACAGACATAAAAATTTTGATTTCTGAAACATATTATTTAAAATATAAGTTAGTCTATCCTTATTCTCCAGACACATTACTGAACTTCATCCCTATGTTAGGTACTATGCTACATGCTGGGCATCCAGCACCTGCTTGCAACTATTATTAGAGAAAGAGATGAAACAAATTTCCATCTAGTGTAGGAAGTGAAATTATAAAGGACATACTATGAGATCAGCATGTCCACACCAGGAGTAGACCATTCCTTTCTAAATATAGCTCTTCCTCCCAAGGCAACTCAGCAGCCATGCTCTGTTGTCAAAACCAGCTTTGGCTTGCCTTTGTTCTTTGCCATGCAGATGTTCCATTTCTCCTGGTATATGCGTATCCTCTTTTCCAAAAAGCTACCATTGTCCCTTCTCCTACAGACATATCCCCTCAGGAACAACATAGTTTCTCACACGCTCCCAATATATGCAAGTGTTCAAAACTACTCTGAAGGATCATAGGTCACCCTGCCAATCACATTCTTCACAGGAAATAAATCAGCCCACACAGAACAGCAATGTCCTAGCTCAGCATCTTAATCCTTTCTATCTTTCATGGTTGCCTTAAACTTTTCTTTTTGTTTTTCTTGGAAAATGCCTCTTTTATTTTTATAGATACATACTTAGAGTTGAAAATTCAAACAATGTAAAAAAAGAAAAGGAGAAAAAGTTGTTAAAACAATACAAATCCCACCAGCGAGAGATAAATATTAGTACTTTGAGGACCGTCTTTGCAGAATACTCTATGAATCAATACACAGAGATATGTACCACTTTGTATCCTACATATTGTTCTGCATCTGTTATTTAAAATTCAAATTATATCATAAACAACTTTTCATGTAAAGAATGACATAAATAACTTTAATAACTGATGATATTAACTTGGACTCAATAGCTTTGCTCTGTTTTTTAAAAGGGATTGTTCAGGCCAAAGCCTTCATATTGAAAGCCGATTTGTCCTTTCTCACCTATAAGATAAGTAATTCAAGTAAGGGGGGGGCATTTTTGGTGCTCTGTAGGTCCTGTTCTAAGTACATTGCAATTACTCTCTCATGTCATTATCATTCAACCTTACAAGATAAAGTGATGGCTTTTAAATATGTCCATACAAACTTAGGTACTCCTCTTTTCAAAATGTGGAGCCTAATTCCCTTTTCCTTGAATGTGGGTTGAGTTCAGTGATTTTTATGGCTTAAATATGAAATGTCCCCAAAGACCCATGTACTATAGGCTTGATCCTCAATGCAGCAATGTTCACAGGTGGGGCTTAGAGAGGTGACTGGATCATGAGGAAACTAAATCATCAATGGATTAATACATTGTTGTATTCACAAGTTGAATGGGCTGTCAGGAGAAGGGGCCTAGGTTAATGAAGTAGGTCACTGAAGGTGTGCATTTGAAAGGTTTATCTTGTCCTAAGCCCCTTCATTTCTGGTGCTTCCTTGCTTTCTCTACTTTCTGGCTGGCAGGAAGTGAGCATCTTTCCTCCAAGACACCCTTCTCCCATGATGCATCGGCCTGGGAAGCAGCCAACCATGGACTGAAACTTCTGAAGCTAAAATGAAGCTTTTCTCCTATAAGTTGTATATGTTGGGTAATTTGTCCCAGCAATAAAAAGGTGACTAATCTAGTGACTTCTAATATAGAATGCAGTAGAAATAACAGTATAGACTTCAAAGAATAGGTTATAAAAGTCATTGGGACTTTCTCCTTGCTCTTGCTTCCTCCTTGCTCTGAGGGCAATTAGCTGCCACATTGAAAGGAGAAGTCTTGGGCTGGGGATTTAGCTCGGTGGTTCCAGCACCTGCCTCGCAAGTGCAAGGTCCCAAGTTCGATCCCCGGTACCGAAAAAGAAAAAGAAAAAAGAAAGAAGAAATCTCTGTGGCAAGTACTAAGGACTCCTGTCAATGACAGCATGAGTGTGCCATCTTGGAATGTGCCCTCTTAGCCTCAATTAAGGCTTCAGATGATTGTAGCTGCAGCTGACGTCTCAATTGCAACCTCATTAGAAACTCTCAGCTATTTAAGCCCCCTCTCAAATTCCTCATCACAGAAAATGTGAAATAATATTTATTATTTTGAGCCATATTTTGGGGAGTAATTGTTACATAATGATAATTAATACAGGTAAGCTGTTATTCTCAAGTGAAAGATTAAAAATAAGGCATAGAAAGACTAAGACAACTGGTGGGAAAATGATGGAGTCATGATTCAAAACAAAGAGGCAATCCAGAAGCTCCTCTCTTAGTCATAGATTATGCTGCTTTCTCTTCTAGCTAGTCTGAAACCCCATGGGTTTGAGTTTCTGATGCATAAAAAGTTCCATGGATGCTGGGTGCAGCCTATTCTTTATTTGAGCTTGTCTATGGAAGCCCGAGGATTCTATAGAGTCTATTGAACCAGTGATCTCTGTTTTGCCTCCAGCTGTATTCAGGAATGAACAACATCAAGGGATCTGACTCCCAAGAGCACTGGACTTGGCTTCATCTCAGACCATTTCTTTATTCAACTAATATTTACTGGGTACAAAGTTGAATGAGGCAGAGATTTTGCCCTTCATTTCTTCACAAACTAATAAATCACCAGTGAAGGTACCATGCAAACAGGGTTGTGATATGCATTAACAGAGAGGAAGAACGCTCCAATCAGATGGTATGGACAAGGTGGTAGTATTTTCCAGAGTGGGTTTCCTAGAGAAGATGATGGCTAAGATGTTATTACAGACAAACAAAAGAGTTTGCATGATGAAGAGGTGGGGTATACTTTCCAGGGAAGAGCACTGTGAACTGTCATAAAGAGAAACTGCCAGACTTAGGGTCTGGGACTGGCACCAAATTTAACCACTTTAGGATTTGATTTCCTGTCCTGTAAAATAGAAATAAAATCACATACTACATAAGGTTGTGAAATAAATGCTTTAAGTACCAATTCAGGGTAAGTGTTTGTTATGCTATGCCTTGCAAATGTCCAGATGGGACAGAATAACCAAGGTTCTGCAGGCCTGTTGTATCAGAAATACGGTGTTGAATTTACTTTTGCCAGACACACACACTCCCTTTACCAGGTTTGCTTGATTTTAATTTCAGTTCTATAGCTGGAATCAATGCCTTGAATCTCAGGTGCATGATTATGAAATGGTTAAATTATCATCCTTGAATTGTACTTTCCATATCTATAATATTGAAATGAAACATACATATTTTATATGTCAAGAACAGCTGGCCTCAGGCCGGGGATTTAGCTCAGTGATTTTGCCACCTGCTGCGTAACCGCAAGGACCCAAGTTCAATTCCCAGTACCAAAAAAAAAAAAGAATAGCTGGCCTCAATGCATGTTGTTTTTCTACCTACTCCCTCTTAGGCAGATCTGGGTTGTCTTTAAAAGAAGCCATTGTAGGCAAGGATTTAGCTCAGTGACACGGTGCCTGCCTTGCAAGTGCAAGGTCCTGAGTTCAATCTCTGGTACCACAAAAAAAAAAAAAAAAAAAAGGCAGCCATTGGCTTAGTTTGGATTAGAGTTATAGTGATTACTAGGTTAGGATTAGAGTTACAATGTTTGTTAAACTGTTGGCTAAAGAAAGACTGAAGCATTAGAGACCATAATCTAATATGTCTGAGAAAAAGGATGTAAAGGAGGATTCTTTTGTGTGTGGGCAAGTCTGTGGAGGAGAATAAAGTGAGGGTCAGCCTGGGAGAAGTCAAAGTATATGTGGGCTA